CCCCAAAACCCCAAAACCCCAAAACCCCAAAACCCCAAAACCCCTCTTTTCCTTGAAACATTGAAAAGTAATTTGCTCAATTCATTAAAGTATGAACTCGAAAGAAGCTAAAGTTATTTCCAAGTGTTTGCTTTAAGGACTTCCATGACTTCATCGAAGAAGCTCATGTCCTTTGCAAGGAGGAAACTCATGTGTCCAAGCTTATACTCCGAGAATGTAATGGCGTTGCTTCCAAGTTGTTCCTTTAGCCATAATGAGTCTCCAGGAGTAGCTAGAAGATCTGCAGTACCATAGAACATAGCAACTTTGTTGCCAGAGACTTTACTAAATTCATACTCTGGTGGAGTATCGGATCCATACTTCTCCTGGTTCTTTGCTTTTCCATAGTCGTAGTCTTGGAATCTCTTGGCTTTCATAATCTGTGCAAAATGATCAAGACTCTTAAGACTGCAACCAGATGGGTAGTGACCCATGAAAGTACTAATTCTTTTATCCTCATCTAATCCGGCATCTTCATCTGCAACGAGTTGGATAGCAAGCTTGCATACAATTGAGAAAGCTTTACAAACACGGGAGAAGACAGCATTCTGAAGATATTCAGATGGGAACATTTCATAAACACCGAGTTTCTTAATGCCTTCAATCAAGAACTGCCCGCTTGCAAGAGTGGTGAGTAATGTTGATCCACAATGGTCTAATCTTGCAACTCCAGCTAAACTAGTAAATAGTGCAACTTTGCTCTTCCACCAAGCGTTCTCTTCGATCATTCTAATGAACATCTGAGTACATCCTTGAGAGTGGGCCATAACACCAAGCTTACTTTTGCCTGTTTCCTTTAAGATATAATCAATGTTAGAAGGGACGTCATATTTTGCCATCTCTGCAAAACTAAAGTCCCAGAATTTCTCCTTATCTGCAGAGTAATCAGGGTTCAAGTTTTCATGTTCTCTACTGTACTTGTTGCCTCTAGTGTTACCAAGCCAAACATCATATCCTGCGTTAGCAAGAATGAAAGCAGGGGCTTCCTCTTCATAATGCATGATCCAGGTATCGGCAGAGTCTAGAATACCATGCTGTAAGAAAATAGCTGGCTTTTTCTTGGCGATAGCTTCATCTCTAGTCTCTCCCTTAGCTCCAGGAATTCTGAACATGGTAAGCCAATAGCCATCATCTGTGAGCACTTTATGGGTCTCAAAAGCGTATCCTTTGTCTTTACAGATGACACTGAATGGTTTCTTAAAGTCTTCGTCTTCTGGGCCTTTATCGCTATAAGGCTCAAATCCCTCTTTCAAGTATCCCTTTATGCTCTGCTCAGCTGCAGCAGATGACAATAGAAAAACTAGGAGGATCCCTATAAATAACTTCATTATAAAATTTATCAATGGAGAATATTTATACAGGGGTTTTGGGGTTTTGGGGTTTTGGGGTTTTGGGGTTTTGGGGTTTTGGGGTTTTGGGG